TGGAGTAGCTTTGTGTTTTGATAAGACCTCAGTTACACAGGTAACAAAACACGTCTCTTGGTGAGTTCGGTGCTGATAGCCTACGTTTTTTTCTGGCAGTAGGGTCTTGCCACCAAAGTGATCAGGACTCTGGCAGGTGTTTTGGCCATGAAACCAGCAAAGGTGGTTTTTAATCTTAGCACAAGCCATGGGGGATGGCATTGCTAGCTAGGCTGGTTGAGCCCAGCCCCACGGAAGGTGACGGACTGGGGCCAGCACGGAGCAGCTGAGCAGCTAGTTTGGTCTCTCCAGATGTTCACCACAGCTGGAGGTACAGTGGACAAAAACAGCCACCCCACAAACTGCTCTTGCGTGTGGTTTGCTTAGGACATGCACAGTACACTGCCTTGTGTGCTCTTGGCTTTACCACTTGTTTAGGCCAGGAAAACTAAAAAAAAAACCGCTAGTGTACTTTTGATCCCTATTTTTAGGGATCAAAGTGCTGCAAAGTTAGCAGATTGGAAAGTGAAAAGGAAACACAGGGCTAATCAGGAACATGGCTATGAAAGGGTTGCAGGTCAGAGACTTACCCTTCCTAAGGATGTACAGTAGAAGTACCCGATTGGTTTGCACATTAAGGAGTTGGGTTGTTTTTTTTTTTCCATTTAACATGCATTCTCTTTTAAAAATATTTTTGAAATATAATGAAAACATAATTTAAAATTTGTATAAGAAAGTGCCATATAACTGTCAGGCTAGTAAAACAGGTAAATTTTGCAATTGATGCCAGCAAATCATTTTGTTATTTAACATTGTTGCATATTCCTGATATTATAGTACTCCCAGGAAGTCAGAGTAATGTTATGGTGGATCAAAATAACTTCTCGTGTGTATTTTGCTTACACAGAGAATGCAAGAGTGATTAGAAGAGAAGAAAGAGAGATCATCCTTGATCCTAGCCTGGGCATCCAAGCAGCCAGCTGGATGATGCTGGAAAGTCCTGGCTTCCACGCCCTACCCCAAGAATCCTCCTCATTTTTACTTTGCCTTTTAATTTAAAGAGTCCAAAATACACCAGGGAACAGAAGCCAAATTCTTCTTTCTCTCCCTCAGCAAGATTTTGATTGTGTCTATATAAAGTAATTTAGCTCTAGGCAGACCTTCTCTTACAGTCCAAGGCTCAATTGTTAGGGCACTCGGTTGGCAATTGAGGGTTTCAAGCCTGTCAGCACAGAGGAAGGAGCCTCGACCAAGCTTCCCATGGCCTTGGTCAGTGCTCTGATCGTTGCAGTGAAAGGGGAAGTAGCAGTAGCAGTCAGTATTGCTGTCTTTTAAAATCATTTAGGTTTCTTTTGGAAAGGATTCTGGTCTAAGGCACCCAAAGCAAGAATTACCACCTTCTGGCCAAATGAGTTGACCACTTTGCCATCACAGTCCTTAGTATTTCTCTATTGACTAGCCCTGAGGCAGGTCTCATACATTAGGTTTCCAGGATCCCAATCAGTTGGCACCTAGCTGTGCCCTCAGTCTGTAGGTGGGTCTGTCAGCATGTTCCAGATTGCACTACAGGAGCTGGTTACAGATCAATAGCAAAGTGCAGTGCAGTTCAGAGACCCACAATCCATCTGTCCCTGCCTATCCAGGAGAACTGGGAAGTGCATCCTACCCACCAATCAATTCTATATAGAGATATGGCCCCAGGCTTGCAAAGTATCTCTCTGCCTTGGTCTGGTTTCCATGAAATAATAAAAATCATGTTCATGTGAGTCATCTTAACAGTTCACAGTTAAAGGCCCAGTACTGCATGTGGCCTTTGCAACATTTAGAATTGTGGCACTGCTGTTGATCATGCACATCTTTGAATGACTCCAAAGTCTGAGTAAAGATGATGTTGACAGAAATCAGGAAAACCTGACTAGAAGTACTCTAATTCTGAACTAGAGTGAGTGAAAACATCATGCTTTAAAATGTAGCTGGGTAAAAATAGCAAAGAAACAGCACATGGTGTTCAGAGGTGAGAAGAATACCTTTCACTGTCTCTGGGAGATCTCTACCTCACTAGAGATCAGAAATCACTGAATCAGTTCAGCCTCTCTCAAAGGTTTTTCACTCTAACTGTTTGATTTAGGGCTTTTCTGGAAAAAAAAAGAAAAAAAAGTGTTTTCATTATTCTTTCCTCTAGAAGCTTTCCTTTAAGGAACAGGAATGTCTCTCCTAGGCGTAAGTATCAGAAGAATGGGATTTTGCAAGCTTTCCTTTGAAGTATGTTGTTGCTTGTCAAATTCTTCCTTTCTCCAGCACAATGGTGCCGTGCTTTGACAGATCTCCAGTGCTTTCAGCTCTTTAATCTTTATGTCCTTTCCATAATGATATTAAAAACAAAATCCATTTGAATTCTCTCTTAAAGAGCAATACATGGTGGAGATGTTATGAAAACTCAGTAAATTTGCTGGGAGCAAGTGGTCTTCTGCTTGTCTGCAAACTACAAGGGAACTTGACTGCTCTTTGATTTTGCCAAAATCTAGTTAAAGAAATATGATTTGCTTGATTTGGCTTTTACAGGCTTCCCTCCTCCTTTGTTAGTAACAATACTACTGAAGTGTTCTCAGGGACTTTGAACAGTTCAGTTCTGTTAAATTTCATTCCGTTGGACTGAGACTAGCTGTTTGTGTTTGACCAAGTGCCTTCCAGCAAGGTATTCACTCCAGATTTGAGAACATCTAGAGACCAATAATCCAGCAGTTCTCTTGTTTTAGATTCCTCAGGTGAGAATAATGGTCTGCTCTTCCTGAGTCAGGTCCACCTAGTCAGAGTGTCTTGCTTTCCCATAATAAAATATAGAACAAAAAGTGTATTTCCCTGTGGGACACTGTTCTATCTGTGTACATTAATATTCTCTGATCAAACTATGAATATTAATATTCTGTGATCTACTCCGGTAGATTTCTCTTCTATGATTCTCTTCTAGAGATTCTAGAGATCTAGATTTCTCTTCAGGTTGCTCATGAATTCATGCAAGCTTTCAATAGCCATGATATGCTGTGGCACTGTTTTTTTTTTTTTTTAACCTCAGATGTGCAGATCTTTTGCTTTCCTTAAGCTTCCACTCAGTGGCTTGCTTAGGCCTTTCTCCCCTAGCCTAAGAAGGCAGCAGTATGTAGCGCTTCCGTGCGTCTGCCCTTGCACGCAGTAGTGAAGTCAACAAAATAAACACAGCAAGCCCTTAGGAAGTGTCTGCGCTGTGTTTCTGGGCAGGCAGAGGCTTGTTCTGCCTGTTCACCAAGCTGCTACACGAGCCAGTGCCTCTCCAAAGGCACAGAAGTGTGGCCATGGGGTGGTACCCAAAGGTACCGCCTTTCTGCTTGGGTATCTGGCAGACAGTGCGCACAGTAACCTGGTATTTTCTGGGCCTCTTACTGAGGTGTTTTTCTCTCTTAAACCATTTTGGCACTTTTCTCTCTTCTCTCTGATTTTCATGAGCACTTCCAAAATGCTAATCCTAGAACATGTGTAGATATGTGAATGCAATACATAATGCTCCACAGTCAGCCTAGCGATGCCCTAGATGAAAAGGTAACCTTTTCCCGACTTACTCATGATTTCCCAGTTTACACATTCAAGAACTACATTCACCCCTTTGGGATTTGCTGGTATGTTGCAAACAGCTTTTTGTGCAACGTGCTATTAGTTGCGTCCAGCTATGATGAAAGAAACCAAACTTCAGTTTATCACAGATATGACCACATGCTTACACCATGTATCTAAGGCTTTAATTACAGGGCAGTTTCTAGAACTAGTTCTCCATAGAAAGCTTTGATATGTTCAGTATGGTACTGTTGTGCCATAATCTCCTGCTCTGACGTGCTTTAGTGACAAAGACGCTGGATTTTTCCCTTAAGTTATAGTCATCATTTAAAATCTTGTTTCTCACTGTTCTTTTTGTGTTAGACTTGCTTTCTTCTAAGAGATGTTAAAAGGGACGTGCACTTAACCTCTGCTAACTTTTGCTTTTCTGGGAGTGTTACTTCCTTTCTGGTGTGAGAACTCCTAAGAGACACTGGTCTTGCCTAACTACTTCTGAAGAGTTTAACCTGGAAGGAACTCAAAAATATTTTCTTTTTTAGAGAATATTAATCCCTACTCATATTACTGTTATGAAAGCTTTTCTCTGGTTATGATTACTGTTTAAAACTTGTATATTTTTAGTTTTCATTTGCTAGCTACAATAGCTCTTTCAAGATTTTGATAATATTGCTATTATGACTGACTTCCTCCCTTTGACACACGCATCCTTTTCATCCTCTCAGTTCCTGATGAAGAACTGCTACCCACATGTTTCATGTGTGGTCTGTAATCAGAAACTGCACTTCTTAGGTGTTTATTTTTCATTATGGCTATATGGAAATTTTGCAGTTATGAGATGAAAGAATTCGTGCCTCCATTAAATGTTCTGAGAAAATTACAGCACTGTGAGAGGTTGCAAGAAAGCTGCATGGGCACCTTGACTCTGGATACAAAACTTTAAAAGACACACATAGAGTAGGCAGGGTAAAACAGTAGGATTGCATTGGATTGTAATCCCAGTTTTGACCACTCCTACTTAAAAAAAGAAAAGATCAAAAGTTAATTCTGCCTGAGTTTTTTCTAGGGGTGGGTCATTGAAAGATCATTTCTTTTTCTTTACAAGCAGGAAGTTAATCAAGCAATTATGTTGTGGAAGTCAAAACTGAAGTAGAATTAAAGTGCTGCAAACCCTTTCAGAGAAGTGGTATATCTAGTTAGGTTCCAAATGTTTTCACAGGTTAGGAAAATGCCCTTCCCCCTCCCCATTTTTACAGATCTGCTTAATAAGCAGGAGGCTCTAAGACCATCTTTATAAGCATGCAAACCTCTTTACACTTAACTCTGCCCTCCAGAAGATTTTCTCTTCTCCTGGGTTGGAGCAGGGTGTCTTCACTCTGTGATAATACTGGCCAATTCTACTTTTAAAAATCTTCTTTTTAATTTGCTTAAATAAATACAAAGGATGTTTTCTTCCTTTTGATCCTGCCTTATTGGACTCCATAATTATCTCAACAGTCGGATGACTCCCGTGTCCCAAGGGAATTCTCTGCTGGGGTAAAATTTGGCAGAGCAAACTTTTATAAAAGCATCTTCTGGACTAAGGTGGAGCAGAATTGCCTTCTGTGAGTGCCAAGCTGAGGCATGGTCCCTTGAGGAGGTTAGCCTGTTTGTTTAAATTAGTGTTTCTTAGGTTAGGGGAATCACTGCTCTGATTTACCCTGGAGCTGAGTCAGGGTACTTTCCATTTGTGATTTGGAGAGCAGTAACCCAGTTCCTCCCAGATGCACATGTTCCCCAGAGAAAGTGGGTCTTAGCTGGAGGACAGTGTTTTGGTCAGAGGTTATTGGCACTGCACAAAATAATAAAAAAAGAACAATCCAAAACAAGCATTTAATTAGATTTTATCAGAAGAGCTGCCAGCTGAATGCAGTGCCAGGAAACCTTACCTGCAGCCCTTCACTATAGTTCCTGTCTCAGAAAAAGCTTCATCTTCTTATCTGTTCCCTTACAGCAGCAGTGTGTCACAGCATCTGAGCTCGGGGGCACACATCCAGGATACTGTAAATGTGTCGCTGCCAAGTCTGTAAATGTAGTTCATGTTTGTTGGCTGTTCCTCTGTCCATTAGCATTACATCATCCCTGGATCAGACCCAGGATAATGAAAACAGTTTTAGTCCGTGTAATCCAGCTTTTGTTTTAAGAGTCCCCAGCATAAAAGGTGACATCAGCCCACACATGCCATGTACTCTGAACAGTTTGCGCCCTTTTCCAGTACCTATCTTGTTTGAAAGTTTTGCCAAAAGTGCTAAAGCCAAGGGTTTTTTTTTTTTTTTAAGCCTAGATTGAGCCTTTTGATTTAAGCCTAGATTTGAACTAGATTGATAGGAGTTCAGATCTTTTTGAATTGGAAAAGTTATAAATTCAGCATCTTCAAATCCGTACATCGAGGATGTTCTGTGGCACAAAATCAGCAGTGCAACACTTTTATCAGTGTACGTTAGAAAAAGAGAATACACCTGCTTGATTCTAACTGCTAACAGAGGAAGAAGGGATTCAATATTGTATTTCCACCAGCCCATTTCAGCTTCTTCCTGTTTTATAGTAAAGTCATGACCCTTTAACAGGGAATCACTTGTGTTTCTCAGTAATTCCATAGGCTGGATTGTTTTTCAGTTTTATCTTTGTGCAGTTTCTGTATGTTGTTCTGACTTAGGTGAAAGTGCTGAGATTGCTACAGCAGTCACTGGTCAGCAATTTACAATCTCCTCCAAACCTTGCAGCTTTTTCAGGCCTTTGGCTTCCCTGTAGTGTTCTTTGTTGCCTTAATTGCACATGATATTTTGATTCAAATCCTCCTTATTCTCAGCATGGATTTCAACATATTCATGGTAGTTAGCTATAAATACACCAGAAGGCATCATTTTCTTTAGAACTCTTCTGCTGGCTATTAGCAAGCTGTACCACCAGTCCTTCTTCCTCATTGTGATTGCTCAAGAGGATGTTAACATAGGGGTTTGTTAGGACAGGCTGGGTGGTGGCTTCTTTCTCAATTATGTTTCAGTAGCAAGTTGAGTTTCTAGGCCAAGCAGGTAGGTGCATATGTGAAAAGGAATGATTACTGTGCTAGAGGAGCATCCCAACCTTTTCATTTTCATCATTGAGAAAGATGCAGAGACCTCTTTTTTTCTGGATGGCATTTTGAACAATTTTGTGTGTTATAATTAATGATTTTCCTTTTCGTCATGATGCAGGAAAGACATGTTAACACACACAGCTATTATTGGTACTATAATTATATAACAGCTACTGTTTGTTGACTTTCCACATTGTCCAGCACACTTTTGATTTTCAGTAGCATTTCCTTTTATTTTATTTTTTTATTTTTCTCAACTTTCAAAATCAATTAGTAGGCTAAGAGCTTGAATCTATCTAAAGCTGCTCGTTTCTTCCTGGAGAGGAGGGCGTAAATCATGAAGAGGAGAAGTTTAAGACAAATGGTCGGAGAATTGAGGTGTGGATCCTGGAAGGATCATGATGTTGGCAGCAGTGGAGGAAAGCATAACAACACCTTTTAAGTGTTAGTAGCAGAGGAGGTCAAGCTATCCAGAATAGCAGCATGATACGGGTTGAGCATCAGAGCGCTCATCATGAAAGAGCAGGGCAGGCAAAATGTTTCAATTATTTACTTATGTTACAAATTATATTGTATTGGTAGCAATTTTCGTAATGAAAGAGTTCATCAGAACTTCCTTAGTAAGTTCAAGACCTGGCATTCTAGATACTTTCCTTAGCATCTGCGTTTGATTGTTGTCCTTTTGGAAGTGCTAGTTACAAAGACTGCTTTTGAACAAAGCTGGTCATTGGGACTCTCTGGAAGGCTTGGAACAGAAAATAGATTAATGTTAGTGTCTACAGTATAATAATAAAAAATTAAAACATGATTACAAAAAACATTCAATACTGTGAGGGCTCGCTGAAAAATAAGATGTCAACAGGGATGGTATCCAGTTTAAGCCACTAATGAATCCATGTGTCTTACCCTTGTGCATCAGCCGTATACCTAGAACAGGGCAGTTTTATTCTGAATAAAACTGCAGAAGAGAGATGGGTTTTAGAAGACAGCAAAACTACTCTGCTAAGTTTGGGTGTGGACCTCAAGAAATTTACTATTAAGGCAACCCACAGTTCATAACACCTATTAAAAGTTCCTAGCTGCCAGATTTTAAAATGCCTCGGTGATAAACAAAAGACCTTTGTAGTGGGAGTGTACAAAATAATAGAAATCCCTAATCCCTGGTACTGCCGTGTAACTGGAGTTTGTTTGTACAAGTATGGGCTTGTAGGGTTCATCTCTGTGTCTAGAGTTTCTAGACAAAAAGTCATCTATTTACCAATTACGTTTTCGGGAAAGAAACCACAAAAGAGTTAGATTTTTCTGTGTTAATTTAAGAGGCTAACAAAATAGTCTGCACTGAAAGAAAATCACGAAGCGTATGTTACACAGAAGTGACCTTTTTAAGGATTGTGAAAAATGTGCCAGACAATTGTAATGGAAATTACTAGCATCCTTAATAACAGAAATTACTAGCATCCTTAATAATAGAATCAGAATCCATGTTATATGAAATTAAGTACTTTGGGGCAAACTTCATATAGAACTCATCAAAGCTTAAAGCTGGGAAGCTCCTAAACAAACACGAGGGAAACAAGCAAACAGCACTGTTTATATTCTAAAAACTACATTTTTGAAATTAAGAATAAACAACTCAGTTGTGACTGCAATGGGGGGAAAGACAAACCTACTTTTAGCCATGTCCTATGCCATTTTCCGAGGGGAAAAAAAAAAGTAATGTTCTGATTATCTGTTGTGATCTTTTTTAACCTACTTCTACTTTTTTACCAGCAAAGTCCTAAATTTTTCAGATGTGAACCAGTCCCTGTAAAGTTTGTTTCACATCTCTAATGTATTAGAGAGGTTCCTTCCAACCTTAAGCGTTCTATGATTTTATTACAGCTACGTACTGTTACATATGTGCCAGGCTGCTTTTGTCAAAAACAACAAAAAAATCATCTGATGCATTTTGAAAACTATTAGAATCTTATTAGCATAACTCTGGTCGCTTTAGGGTATTATAAAAACAGTGCAAAACTCCTGAGTGAGCTGCAATTAAGAAGTTGCAAATAGATCTATTTTAAAACTGGTAACTTTTTACACCTTCTGCTGCCTCTCAGAAATGGTGATCTGAAGAAGCCTTTAGGAAGGAAACAGCAAGGAAACCTTGGCCAAGGGGGAAACTTCGTCCTGAATATACCATGACCATCATATCCCACTGAAATTGTTACAAAAGGTGAATAAATTGTGGCGGTAGCACCAAGCAGCTGCTTGCAAAGCAATTTTTCCTCAGTGTAGCAAGCAGCTGCTGTGAAGGATACTGTGGAGGGAATGGCTTCAAGCTATAGTAGAATAGGAGGAAAAAGTGGTTGCTTTTCAGACTTTTGTGGGGATGCTGTGGCCAGAAAGGGGTTCAGGTGTTGGGCAGCCTGCAGCGAGGGCAGAGCGGTGAGGGTGGCGCAGGGGGCTGCGGGCAATGGGCAGCCTGGCTTGACTCAGCTCTTCCTTGTGCTCCCGCAGGTGATGGCCATTGCCGGCAGGCCGGGAGCCACCCAGGAGGGCACCGCGACGCCACGGAGCAGCTAGCGGTGGTGGTGCAGCTGAATCACGGCACCATGGAAGGCAACGGCGTGGCGACGCTGGCGACGGAGGAGAACGGGGATGAGCTGAGCACCCCGACGGAGCCCCTGACCTCCCCCTGCAGCCTCAGCTCCTCGCTGTGCTTCAGTGGTGATGAGCGCAGCGCGCAGCCACAGCCCGACGGCACTGGGGGCAA